CCCCGGGCCTGTTCCCGCAGAAGCCACCGGGGGTGGCGAGGACTGCTGTGGCCGCAGCCCTCGGGCTTGCAGCAGCCCAGGAGGCGGCCAAAGCCACCCATCGGTGTTGAGTGCAGTGGTTCTAGAGCTGAGAACACCGGCACGGCGCCTGTTGCAGCCATCGTCTCTCTCACGGCACGGCCCCGTCCCTGCTCTAGTATTAGCATCTTGCTCCAGCCTCCCCTTACAAGACATTTCTTCACAGATCGGTGCTTTTTAACCAGTCTGCACAAAGCCTCACACCCAATGCCAACCCTATGTACTCTTTTTTTTTTCCAGCAGATGGGTACATTTAGCTCTCACCCACCTATGAAATGTTTCTGCCTCACCCCTCGCCTGGCCTGGCCGGCCGTCAGGAGCAACAAAGGCACAGTGCAGCAGCGAGGGTGGCTGGCAGGCGAGGACGCAGCTGTGCAGCTCCCAGCTGTGGTGCCCGAGGGGACAGCAGCTGGCACACACAGCCCTGCGAGCAACGGTGGTTCTGGCAAAAAAAAGTAGGTCAGTACTCATAGCAGCATCTTTGGAGTTGCCCCCCCCCAAATCTAAGTATGTTTCAGGGAATACAGAGGTGCGATGTGCAGCACGTACAAGTACAAAGGGACACGCGGCAGATGCAGGAGAGCATCTCCCTGGTCGGCCAAGCCAGCACCCCGTTTAGCTGTTCGTGACCCCCTCCAGAAGCCTCCCAGATCGCATTCCGTCACGTTGCCCTTCCCACAGACATCAGGGAGTTCAGTCTCCTTTAAGAGCCAGGCTTTGTGATTTCTGAATTCCTTGAGACGCTTCATGAGGAAGTGGGCAGAGGGGTCTTCGACAAACAGGTGGTCTGGGACAAGTCCTCACCAGGATGTTTCCCGTATTGGTGTCTCCCCTGACCCAGACCTGCAAAGCTCTGTACCAGCCTGTCACTCCTTGCACAGATGTCCCCGCAGCTGAGCGGCTCCAGCCCCAGGAGCTATGTTTCTTGCTCCTCCTGGTCCTTACCTGCTGCCGTGAGTGTGTTCAGGCACACAAGGTGGGCTTCCTCCAGCCTTTGGCATCCTCCACCAGAGCTGCCTCAGCCCCAGTGCCCTGCCCTGGTATTTAGCACCATTGACCTCTCTTCTCCTGCTTAACCACAAGCTGTTACCACCGTTCCTCAACAAATCTAGTTTCAAGCCCACAGAAAGGACTCTGCACTGTCACCCATCACTTCCCCATGTGAACGTTTGGTTCAGGCCCATCTGGCTCCAAACCCTTCCCTTAACGCAACTTGTTCTTTTCTTCATCTATTACAGCACCATAGCAATTTTGTAAATCCTTACCCAAGGGTGGAGAAGAAGCCTTTCTTCTGATGCCAGAAGTCACAAGCTTCCAGCTACACCCATCTTAGGAATCTCCATTCTCTACTTGCCCAAGTAGGGCCTCCAGCTGCCCCTTGTTACTCCCACTGCATGGTTTGGTCTTCTGCTTCTACAAGGTCTCTGCGACGACCGTTACTTATGGCCTCTTGCTGTCCACCCTTCCCGGTGCTGTGAGTCTGCTCCCTTCTTCTGTAGCTCTTTCATGGGGCAGCTTGGTGCCTTGCCCACAGCAGAGCTCCCGCAGGCAAGGGCAGCCCTGCCCCAGGCACTCCCTGCGGCCCAAGACCAGGCAGCAGCATCCTTCTCCAGGAGCTTCCACCCATGCGCCCAGGCTGCTTCCCCCAGCTGGCACAGGGGCCCAAGCCATCAGCAGGGAAGTGTGTTCCTGCAGCAGGAGAGGAGCCTGACCCTCCTTCAGCTGGAGGCAGCTGGCCTTTCTGTGGGGTCTGTGCCTTCGCCTGTCCACCCCGTAGCGTTTCTATGCTGGCCATACAACAAAGGCTCACAGCGACCTAGAGCTCTTATAAAAACACGGTATTAATTTTTTCAAAGACTGCATGTCTTGGGAGCAGAACACCAGGAAACAGCACTGCTGCACCTCAACACCTCTACAAAAGTAGCAGCGTATGGTGGTGGAACTGCTGCCCCAGTCTCCCCAGGAGTACTAAAATTACTGAATTCTTGCCATTTCAAGGCTAACGCTTTGCATTTCAAAGAACTGAGTCACAACTTATTAGAATAAACTTTTATTTACTGCTCTCAGGATGCTTATTTTATACTTAAAAGTACGCAATAAAACCTGCTACATTCAAATCTATACAGATTTACTGATATATGATTCATGTTTTACAAAACTGTATATAGTTTGGGGAAATTTGTATAAGTTACCCTTATTTACATGTCATATTCTCAGCCCTAATGACCTAGTCAAAGAATAAAACAAAGTGGGATTTTAAAGATCCCTTAAGACCCATTACATTTGTTACATAATTTACATATCTTTATAGAGAGGTGTGCTACACTTCCTTCTTGCATATTTATAAAGACTGTGACTAAACAGAAACTTGCTGGCCAAAGCTAGGTACTGTCATTTCCTCAGATCATACTGGTAACAAAAAGTTAAAATTAGAGCAAGCCAGGTATATAAACCATTTTTTTTTTCTTTTAGAACCAACTTTGCTAATAATTTCAACCAGCACTTGCTCAAAAAAAGTTTAATACAAAAAATATCCACATTTACAAAAGAAGTTGAACTAATATTTATATGACAAGTTGATCTACAATAAATTGCACATCGTTGGTTATGACTTTGGTTATACTGTATTAACAAATTTGGTTTCTAGACTAACCGTGAAGGAAAAAAAAAAAAGTAAAAATGCAGCTATAGAAACTAGCATAACCTGTAAACACATTACAGAACCAAATTCTGCCCCTGATTACATGTGCATAACCTCCACGCAGGTGAGAGAAGTCTGCACACATCACATTGCTGAATTTGGCCCAGAGAACCCTGTAAACATGTTCTTTATTGTTATGTAGTGCAATACTGCAAGAATGGATAATAAAGGCCTCTAACTACCAGTAACAAATAGAGTGATATCCATACAAATTTCACGTTAAGATCAATTTGTTGCAAAAGGCTGAATTGAAAATACTATCCATCGCTGAACTACAAATTTATCAAAAAAGTGATGAATACTCAATAAAACAACAGTATACAAATTCAGAAAAAAATTGATATAATTTCTCATTACAATTCAGAATTATGCTGCTTGTCTGTTTTATATTAAAATCCCGGGTTTGTTGCACTGTGTCGACAAAAGCAAGTTAGAAACTGAAATCTAACAAATAAGATGTGTCAGCAAGTCAATGTTCTGCAAACTGATGGCTGATACTGCAAACAAATGCTTTCCAACGTTTTACCTAATATGCTGAATCATAAGGTGCTTTGGGCAGATCTGTAGCAAACAGCCTGAAGCAGCACAGATTACGATATTGCATTATATGACCTTTGTTGGGTTTGGTTTTGTTTTTTAAAAACAGTTTAACAATTTCAGTTTTTCCTCTTAAAGCAGCAATTCAAATTTACACCCTCTGCAAAGACTTCTTCACAGTTATACTTCAGTAGTTTACTGCAGGACAGTCTGTCAAATACTGTAGAAGAGGCAACTGCTTAAAAACATTTTAGTTTTTGACTTACTTGGCACCGGCCCATCAACATGTATACTGTAGTTATTAGCAAAGTACACAAAATCGTGGAAATGGCAAAATATAGTTTCAAAAGTTAGTGAATTTTTAATACTTACAAGTGATACTATGAAGATTCAATAGCTGTGTGACTAAATACAATGGTAGCCCCTGGAAAATTCAAATTTGTAAACCCTTAAAATGAAATTGCAGCACTGGACCAATACAATTTATGTCTGTCTCAATCAACCCCATCAAAACCCTGAGTATTTTCAATCGCTAGGAGAAGTTTATCCCATAAATCTTCAAACGAGTCATATGGAGGCAAATCCAAGCGATTAAAGCTGAAAAACAGATGAAAAGTCTTAAGTATTTTATCATTCTTAATAAAGGTCATAATTTACCTAAATTGAATACTCACCAGGTATGAGCTCTTGGCAGTTTTTCAGGGGTACCCCACTGTTCAACTGTAAACAACTGTGGTCCATTTGAACCTGCAGAAGAGAATTCCATCAATTTTCACCCCATAATGAGATTCTTTTATAATTAGATATGAAATATTTTGGTTTCAGGTAATCAAATTCTGACACTAGTAGAAGCTATCTATAAGAATCAAATACAGTCTATACTCAGTAATGGTCAATAATCCCAATTCACTTGTATTTCTAATTATTTCTTGCTGGATCTTATTTTTAGAGACTTTTACACCTTAAGCTCAGAAATCAAAGACCTAAATACATATGCATAGTAATTGGCATTGAAAATTTTATGCAGAAGACAGTTTTATACTGTGTAAATTTTGCATGTGGATATTTAGACATGTTTACAACAATGTGCCAAGTTATATAACCTGGCAGAAAGTATTCAATGTCCACCTTCACCTACACAACAACAGAGAACTTTTTGAAACACGGTGACCACACGTGTACTCCAGGGATGTAGATAAGAGAACACCCGAGAAAACTGTTTTGACTAGCAAGTGCAGCTCTAGCTATGCCTGTGCCTTCAGCAACTGTCTTACAGAATGTCGTATCTGAAAGTTTCTTGGACCTCTTAACTCTTGCCAAGTGGATGCAAAGGGCATTTTGTGACCATTTCCTTAAGCTGTTGAAAGCACCTGTGTATGTCTAGAGAAGACTGTGTAGTTAAAAAAAAAGAAAAAGAAGAAAAAAAATCACTGTCGTGTCAGAGAACAGGACAGTATCTCTGATAGTGGGTGTCCTCTGACTATTCTACAAGGAGACCAACAATACAGTTAGAGAATTGCACTCCAAGGCAGATGGCTGCCCAAGAATGAGTAGCCTTCTGCTTCTGAAATAGATGTGAAACACATTTCAAATTAAAGATGAGCAGCAGTAATGAGAACAGGTTGATCTATGAATGCAGCTGATATATAAGTGTTGTGTAGAGAACCTTTAGACCTATGAAATTAATTTGGTTTTATAATGCAGATAGACACCTTCCCTTCTTTTTATGACTTCTCCAAAATGTTTGTGCGTTGTTTTTTTTTAAACTATATAACAGTTAATTAAAAAATATTTAATTTTTGGTTTTGTGGAAACATGAAAAAATAAAACGCATACATATTCATAAAAAATGAAATTACATTATGATAACATGTAATCATGCATATTGTAGAATTGGATTTGGAAAATTCTAGATAACTTAGATGCAGAAAAACAATCCCAAATCAACCAACAAAAAACCCAAGATGATTCATCCCAAAGATGAAAATAAAACAGGAGGATGAAAAAACCCTTTCCTAACTACTAACATTCACAAAAAAGTAAGAAATACCAATCAATGCACAGAAACTATACTTTGTACAAGCCTACTGAATGAACTAGACAGCTGAGAGCAGACACCGAGCATTTCATCCTAAAACGTTATTAGCGAGACAGATACATCAGTAGTCGTGGGAACACCTCCAGCTCCTCCTCCTTACCTTCTGCTTTGGGTTACATGTTTCTTCAGCGCAGAAGGCTGGTTAGAAGAGGTAACTAGTAAGAACATCCGGAATAAGGATGAGGCAGAGAAGCAGCTCTGCAACTGACAGTGCATTCTACCATGTGACAAGAAGATAAAAACCTCCCTTTTAATAGCTAGGTAAGAGTAAGTCTGTATCCAGCTCTCTGGGAGCAGAAATGCCTCTGCGGGCCACACGAGGGAGGTGTCCCGCCAGCGAGCCAGCTCCAGGCCTGCAGCCCGGGGTGGGAAGGGAACAACCACAGGGCAGCTCGACAGCAGCTCGGCCACCTACCGACGCCAAGCACTGAAGAACCACCTACAGTTCTTCAAATCCAAGCAGGTACTGGAAATGGGATTGTGATCGTTACTGGGGTTTAGTGAGAGTGACATACTGGCCACAGTAAGGTAGAAGTAACCGTAAGAGTACAGAAAGACAGCACTGTACAAGACAACTGCTAATTGAATTTTTCATTAACGAGTGAATAGTACTTCAGAAACTGGGACTTGGCCAGAAGACTGCCTAAGATGTCCTAATCCCTGGACAGAAGTGCACCAAGAGCTTCAGCAGTTTCTTTCCCTACACCATTCTTTAGTTCTATCTCTGGTAGTGTTTTTAGACAAATAAACAAAAATCCAGAGGCAGCAGAATTCCCATCAAGTTCCACTGCGATGACCTCCAACAGTACCAAGGTTCAGGTGCAACAGCAGACACGTGGCTCAAGTCCGCTGAGGGCACTGCCCTTCCCATTGGAACTCACAACTCATTCACTGATGGAATGAAAAAAATAAACCAAGTATTTATGATGAAAACAAAGAGAGGGAGAAATGAGAACACATGGTGGGTGGCGTTTGTTCACAATTCTAGTGTTTTATAAACAAAATACTGTCTTGTTTACAAAGAAGGAAGTGTTTATTCAAACATGCAAGTTATGCAATTGAGGCATTTGCATAGGATCTCAAGCACCTTTAGCCTTAATAAAGTAGTCTAGCAGAAAACATAATAGCTGACGGCAGCTTAAAACAGACTCCCCATAAGCAAAACACCCCCACCCTTTGTGGGCTGTTCTGCCCTCTTGCCCACAGTCTTTCCATAGTGGTTTTCTGGCTTTGGTATTAAAGACTGCTCCCCACTGCCATCTGGCCGTTTCTGCACCCTAGGTTCCCTACTTTTCTTTTGGCATTACGTTTAACTCGTGACATTTCAGCAGTCCTCTTTGGAGTATATCCTTACAAACAGTTGTATCTGTACAACTGTGGCTTGTGAGTAGATAAAAGCAGTTGGGGAACTTAGAATCTGAAGTTAACTGCTGATGCCAGCACGTCTTTGTAATCAGATCTTAGATAACTGAGATTTCCTTCAAACTCAATCACGTGTTAACAGGGATTTTTGAAGCCCTTTAGAACTTTAAATTCCACATTCATTTGAGAAATCCTATACATCTAAAAACTTCCAAAAACAGAATTAAAATGAAGTATTTATAGAACATGGGAAACGTGTGATCTTAGGGACTCTAACTTTGCTTCTTATAACTGCCAGCATATACTCATTTTTAAAGCAAAATTTGAAAAATAATGTGCCTATGCTTGAAGTAAAATATAATGACAGTGTCAGTATCACGTTCTCTGATACTTAATTGTGAACATAATGATAAGTACTCACCATACAGCTCAGCAAACCCATTCATAGGTACGCGTGATGTGCCAGTAACAAATTGAAGTAATCTTATCCTCTTTTCAGAGTCCATCATTAAGACTGCCTGGGTATGATAATGATTACAATTAAAGACTTCTTTTTAAATTAAGGTTTTAAGCTAGCAGATTTATGCAACGTAGTTTCTACCTCTGAATCATCATCCTTTATACATCTGCATTTTCTTAGTGACACACATAGTCTACTTCTCTGCCTATTACTAAAAGATATGAAGTCAACAATTTTTTAATGGCACTGTAACAAGAGTATGGTTACTGGCTTAGCAGGCTGTTAAAATACTTCCCTTGAAGATCTGGCCCCTACTTTCTTTGAAGTTTCCTGATGTTATGAACTAGCAGCCAAAATCCTGTAATTTATTAAACAGAAGAGTTTAACACCTCTTTAGTGTAACCATGCCAGAAAAACCTACACAGAAACATTTTTAACCCCAGTCAGACACGGATTTTTCTGTAAAAGCAAGTATCAGTAGTGTATCTACATTCTTACCATGCATCTCATCTTTAGTTTTCTTACTGTCTTTCTCAGGAGTTTTAATGGTCAAATATTTACCTGCCTATCGATGAATCACACGATAAACTACACAGCTGAAAGGCAGCAGCTTTGCAACAGGTTTTAAGTTAAAAAAAAGACAAAACAAAAAACCCAAAAAACTTCACAATACCTTCCAGAACCACTGTATTACTTGATGGTTTATGTTGTAGCCATTTTTATATTTTGTGTGTAGTTTCCAATCAGCCACATCCACATCTCCCAGTCCACACATTAATAACTACACAGATAAAAAAAAAACACCACCAAAGTTTAACTCAATAACATTAAGTTTCAATGTAATTTGTTTTCTTTTCCATGATACACTTACCTCTAGCTCATTTTCATCAAAAATTTTAATCAGATCCTGTGGTATTAGTTCAAAAAAGCCCTAAAAAGATGAGGGAAGTTTTTAAAAATCAAGTCAACGTTATTTAAGCATTTTTGTACACTGAGAATAATATTTAGATGTTTTAGTAAATACAGCCAAAGCAATGCATCAAATACAGATGTTGGGACACCAGCAGTCCCCAGTTTGGTTATAGTACTTTTAATTCTGACTTGTCACATCTTTATTGTGCTACACTGAATGGTGAATATGTAAGTATGAATAAGATATGTAATACCATTTATACAAGTAAGGATGAACCAGCTAGTTTAATTTAATTCTATCAGTTTATTTAATGAACTTTGCAAAAATGAAAATTAAATCAGTTTGCACTACAGCTAGAGCCGTCAGCCAGGATCGAGAAATAAGCAAACTCTTCAGTATGAATTAAACACCTCAGTAAAAAAATGCCAAAAAAGATTTTAAGTCTGAAATAATTCAAAGCCGAAACTACAAACAGTTTCACTGCCTTTTTTATACCTGTAACAACATTATCTGTGGGTCATCAAGATGTCCACAAAAGCTTAAGATTAGATTCAACAAGTTTTAGAAGAATTTCTTTAGTAATTACAACTATACCTCTTTAAAGGCTGCCATTTGTTTTTGTACTCTGCTCACAAATCTCCACTGAATTACAAGACTGTAAAAAACCAAACCAAAAACATTTAAAATAAAAGCAATTTACACACAAAGCAACAACTTTCTTTTATTAATACAAATAACACACAGTCCTTATTACTAGAGGGGCAATCCAGTGAGACACATTGCACATAGCAACCACTACTTACTGAATGTAATCTCTCTTGTTCTTGTTGGTGACAACTATTTCTGATCCACCACTTTTCAGTTCATGTTGATGGGTCTAAATGCAATACATAGAATAGGTCTTAAATGAGATACATATGTAACGAATTCATATGTTAGTATTATGTAATTTAGTTAACTCTTGAAGACTGCAGAGTTTGAAAACTATGAAACATCGTACTAGTTTCACATATCACCTGAATAAATCAAATTTGGTCAATTGTTTTAAAAAATGTGTTATTCAGGGATTCCAGACCGCAGCGGGGCAACCTCCATTTTTTCTGACCTGCTACAATACATCACCGAAGGTTTCACACAAGTTCTCAGTAATCTGAACTTCACTAATGGCATATTCAATGACCCGGACTTTTTTCCAAATCTCAAGGAAAAACACTTACAGAACGATTTCAGCAGTGGTCCCAGTAAATAAGTGAATCAACATGCATATCTGTTACATAATGATTTATACTACTAGAACCTCAGCAGACAAATATCTGATTTTCAGTTCATTACGGATGTGCGTTTTCATGCTCCTATTTAGGCTCATTTCAGTTACACAAGACCACAAAGGTTATTATCCTGCTGAGTTCTAGTTGGCACCTGTAATTTGGAATTTTTATTCAAGACCTGTGGTACTTGTGCACAACTCCTCTTGCATACCTTTCTACACAACAACGAATGTGTTTATTCCATAGTTTTCTAGTACATATTAAACACCCCTATTATCATCTCCCAGTGAAATTTATGATTCCAACCATTTCCAAAAGAGCTCATTGTTTCCAGCCAATCACATAAAACCAACTTCTACTCCAGATTAAGTAATGGGACTATGGACATCTTAGTCTCAGTTGCGTTCACAGCAACAGCTACATTTCAATACAAGTACTATTCAAGAAAAAGCACAAGCAACTTTTTAAGGCTCTGCTTATTTCCAAGTGCTTTAGCACATCACAGCCAGGCTAACAAAGCACTGCATGAGCATGTGCCAGCTACAAGTAACTGCTGAGTGAACAAACCAACATGACTGCGAATGAAGGGTTTTTCTTAATATCATACTGATAAAATCAGCTAATTTCACAGGTAAAATATACATAAATGTACTAACCTGACCAAAAAGTTCTTCATCAACTATAAATCTGAGGTCCAGTTCTGTTGGATCATTTTCAAGAATCCATCTCAGAGAATTGTAATATTCACTATCCTTAGAGAGAATTACAAAATAGTAAATACAAAATAGAATAGCCATCTTTTAAGCTACAAGAGACTCCGTTACAGCCCAGTAAATGCTGCTACCTAGGATAATCCTGTATTGAATACAGAGACTCTGTAATTGTACAAAGCTACAAAGACCTGTAAGGACGTTTGAAACCTGAAGACTCAGCAATCTCCAGACTAAAAATCTCTCACACAGCAAAACCGTGATAAGGTGTCACAGCATTATCTGAAATAATGTATTTTGGACTCCTCTCTGTCTCTCATCCCGTATTTATCTTCCCTTTGTTGTCAGGCATTACTACAAAGGGCCTTAGGAAATGAAAATTACAATAAAAGCGAATCGCATCCTGGGCTGTATCACAAGCAGTGTGGCCAGCAGGGCATTGGAGGGCATTCTGCCCCTCTACTCCTCTCTGGTGGGAGTCCTGGAGTCCTGTGTCCAGCTCTGGACCCCCCAGCACGGGACAGACATGGACCTCTTGGAGCGGGTCCAGGAGGAGGGCCACGAAGATTATGAGAGGGCTGGAGTACCTCTCCTGTGAGAACAGGCTGAGGAAGTCGGGGTTGTTTAGCGCAGAGAAGAGCAGGCTCTGGGGAGAAAGATGGGGAGGGACTCTTTATCAGGAAGTACAGTGATAGGATGAGGGGTAACGGCTTTAAACTGAAAGAGGGTAGATTTGGATCAGATCTGAGAAAGAAATTCTTCACTATGAGGGTGGTGAGGCCCTGGTTGCCCAGAGAAGCTGTGGCTGCGCCCTCCCTGGAAGTGTTCAGGGTCAGGTTGAATGGGGCTTCGAGCAACCTGGTCTGGTGGAAGGGGTCCCTGCCCATGGCAGGGGGGTTGGAACCAGATGATCTTTAAGGTGCCTTCCAGCCCAAACTATTCTGTGATTCTATAGTACTGCACAAAAAAACCCAAACCAAACCAAACCAATCAGGACACATCTGTAACTTTATTACTCAGAAACAGATAGGACCTATATTCTGTATTCTTATAGGATGGCAAAATCAGTAACAGATTAAAGAGACTGAATAAAAAGCACGCTGCCCACGAACTATCAGGGAAACAAACAGACAAAAAAAATTGTAAGGGCCATGTTTTCCTCTAAAAATGTTACATTGTATCACTCATTAATATTTTCAGTCTCTGGAAGTATAAGAATATGTTTCTTCCTAATAATCAAAAGACACAAACTAATTTAAAAAACAGGTTGAGATAGGGATCTCGAAGATGTTTATGTTTAATTTTAAGAACCTTAGTGCCTAAAAATATTTTAAGAAAACACCATAGAAAGTTTAGAGTCAAGTTTTCAATACAGTTCAACTGACTTAAACCAGAGTCTAGGTCTCTGATTTTCATTGGAAATTTTCATTCATATACAATTTACAGACTTACAAAAGATGTAGCCTAGAATTCCTTTGAATCATGCACTTTCGACCTTCACAATGTCATTACAGGTATACATAAAAAAAATAATATGAACATGAAATCCTAGGATACATGATAAAGCAAACTACATACCACAGATTCCATATCATGGAGCGTTATTGGTTTTTGGAGCATCATCTTGTAAAAAGGACGAATAAAAAAGGCTTTAAAGAAGAACAAATAAATGGAACAGTATGTAACTCAAAATTGAAAGTATGCACAATATTAATCTAAATACCCTATTACATAAAATAAATACTAACCATCCAAAAGTTTGCCATGGTAAACAGCCATTCCAGCTACACGACCTATAAACTTGAAATAAGACAGATGATCTTCATTGCAAAGTCCAGAGTTTGGATTGATCTGCAGAGTATAGTTATCTCTGAAGTTGAGGGAGGGAGCAGGGAAGAGAAAGAAAAACAAAACATTGTACTATCAGAACAGTCCCACATTTGAAGATCTGAAAGACATCATTGTTTAAATCAGGTATTACTTTTCATGAAGTTGAAAAAATAATCATATTTGGATTAATAAATCACTAATATAGTTAAACAACACTCAATAGAAGATTCTATTAGGACAGCAGAACTAACAGTTTTGAATGACCACAAATTACCTTTGCAAGTTAGATACATACCAAAGAGCTTAACTCCTATCAATTTTAAAGTAGTCAGAATAACATTTCTCCACCTTATTTGTTAAATACTGCCTCTTTTGCAAGTAGTAGACGGTTGCAAGCGTGTGCTTGTCTATGCAAAGAGGACGCGGTTTATGTCACACTGCTGAAAAAAAAGATATAGGTACTGTCTCCACATTATTCCTCTGTCGAAGAACTAGGTGCCAAATATTACAGTTATTGACAACTAAACCATTCTATACATCTGGGGAGTCGGGGAGGGGGAAGGAATTCCATTTTAAAGTAGGTATGAAAAATACAATTTATTCGCTTTCCCTAACTAGTCTTCATGTCTCCTAGACCTGTATTACTTACGTAGCTGAATATTCAAACAATCCATAATAAGGATTAAACATTTCTTTAGAGAGAAGGAAGAACCATTCCCTGGCCACTCCTCCATAGTCTAAACCTTTTTCACCATCAAATTCAATCCAAAGTCTTGCTTTAAGGAAATCTGCTCTCTTTACAGCTATAATTCTTCTATAAGAATCTTCAAGGATTGTTGTGCGATGAATTTTCATTTCAAATCTATTTGGAATATCACTCAAAAAAAAAAAAAAAAAAAAAGAGTATGAAAACATAGAACAGTAGAACAAAACACAGCATCTTATAGTCTTGCACAGTCCCAAATTCTGTAAACAGACAAAGAATGGCACACAAATCCTTTTCTTAAATAATCTGGAAACATAACACAATATGATTGACAAGAGCTCTATTTACATATAATTCAGTTAGCATGGAGAGTTTCAGATACCGAGTTCTATTTCATACCAAGAAAACAGGGTTAAAATAAGCATATAACAGGACATGATCAGTTGTTCTGCACGCAGCAAGATATGAAATATTTTTTAACACTGAAATTCATCATATCATAAGCTTGATTAAAAAGAAAAGCTCAGAGTTTATAAATAAAATTATTTTGGAACAATTTTACCTGACTTCTTTCACCTTCTAGTTCAATATTCTAACTATAAGTCTAGATTGTCCTGTTTTCTTACTGAAGACATACGTGACAAATAAGTATTCCTACATTAGTAAAATAAAATCTAAATAAAATAAAATAAAATAAATCAGTTTACTTAAAATGTGAATTCACAGTAACAAATCACAAGATTTATATTTACTATCATCTATGAAAATATTTATATAAAAATATCCAAGGAGCTCATATTTGCTGCCGAGCTTTCAGAGTAAGCCCTTAATAAACTAGGAATAAAACTTTGCTGAACCATTAGATCGCTATATGAGAAGAGAGTATTTTCTTTATTTCACTTGTTTTCAGCCAGTTTATGTCAGCAATTACTTCAGGCAAAACTGAGAAATTCAGTGAAAGTGGGAACAGTAAATTTCGACTCATGTTGCTCCATGACTGGATTAGGACAATGCAATGAAACTCAACATATTGCAAATTTCAAAGAACTAGTCACACACTGAGCAGAAATAATGGATTTTTGAATGCAGAAATATTTAATAAATCAATCTGAAGAGTCTATACTCAGATATGCTTCTGTTTTATTTTCTTATACTCCTTAAATAATTTATCCTCAATGTCCTCCCCCCTCAAAAAAAATTAGAATGTTGCATTTAAATGTAATGCCTATTTATACCCAACAACAGCTTGATCCAAACTATGAGTAAAAAATAACTTGGGGTGGGGGAGCATATTATTTGTAATTTTCCAAGTTGTAAAATACTGTACGATATTATATCACTAATTTACATGTTCACTGAAATATATAGGCCTTTTTCATAATTTCAGAAAGCAGTAAATAACCTAAATTAAAAATAAATAAATTCCTGGTTTTAGTTGCAAATCAACTTTTCATAAAAAAGTTCAAGCAATAATAAAATAAATTACTAAAACCAAATTTAGCTTATTAAAATGGTATTAAATTTCAATCAATCCATTACCCTAATTGTCATTTAGGTATTTGTGAATGCTTAAAAAGGCGATAGTAAAGTATGCTTTAAAATCTACATGTGTATTTAATTCTTAAATTACCACAATTATATTGTGTGGCTGAACTGTCTATCACTTCTTCGATTAGGACAATGATGTCTGAATGAATGCCAAGCTTGTTTGACTGGGAACACAAAAAAAGAGGTGCATATATAATTGTATGCAATTTACACCTCAGCTTGGAATGCATAGGTTTCAGCAATGCTAAAGACAGACTTGGTAGGTAAACGGTGAAGTACGGGCCTAAACTCAAAGGCTATAATTATATACATAAAATACCTCCCAAGAATACCAAATTTGACTGCAGCTGTGCAAAGACTCGTTATCTAGATATCCAGATGCTATTTACAGTCTTCTATGCTATGCTTTATAAATACATCTAGCACTGCCACTTCAAACTAGAACTTGCAAATGAGATTCACAAACTTCAGATTTTAAGACTACAACAATTTATTAGTCATCTAGCCTGATAAAGGTGACAGTACAAATTTCTATCTGAAGACCCTAAAATCTAATAGTTCCAAAAACTATTATATGCTAATCATTGATTTGCAAACTTTTCTGTTGCCAGCCTACTTCCAGGTTCACAACTTTAACCTTTTAGAATTTCTACTTTTTCAGTTAGATTGCTTGCAGTCTTGTCATTGCACAAAGTCACAAACCCTACTGTTGGACTAAAAGTTAATGTTACCAAGTCGCTGTGTCACAAATGTATGTGTGATCAGACAATAAATCTACCTTCTCTAAACATGTTACAAAGTTCAATTTCCTTTCACTTTAATCTAAGCTTTTCTTTGTTTTGGGGCATAAGTTTCTTAACGTTCTGCTGGATTCTTACTGATTACTAACCTGTTTCTTCAATTTCTTTCTGAAGAACTCATACTTCCGCTTATAGTCCCTGGAGTAAGGCACAGCCTTTGGGAAAAAGAAAAAAAAAAAAAAAAAAAAGCACTTGAGATACTCTAACAATTAATGTAATATAAATTAACCTGTATTTGTGAAACATAGACAATGCATTTAAGTTCTCAGAAAACAGGAACAGATGTTTTACTAAGTATCAGGGGAGACTTTAAATTTCTAAATATATAGACAGTTCAAAACATCTGGAATGAAAAGTACTTCTTTCTTCGGATCATCTGTTCTGACCAGTTCCATAGAATTTATTCTGCACTTTGCTATTAGCTGATGTGGCTGACTAAGATCACTGACTGGCCCAGATCAAAGTGACCAAAATGCCTTTGGTGACTTACACAACGCATAGTCTTTCCTTGCTGTATCATGAGAGACCTGGCTACAAACACCTCTATTTTCCATGGACAGAGAAGGTTGTTTACATATGTGGGCTATTAATAAACACAGATATCAGTTGAACACTAAAACCCATCTATAATTATAATGTGCACCGTCTTTGCAATTAGTCTTGGTAATTTTGCAGTTCAGATTAAGTATCAAGGCCAGATAGTTATTTTTCAGTTGGAAACGAATTTAATTCCTATTAAAGCCATTTTCTTTTTTTCAAGTTTACTTCATGAAATGATCTAGTTATATTTTGGACACTGTGGATAAAAAAATAAAGCTTCTTACCCACTTCAAATCCACCCCTAGTCTCTAAGGAAACTTTCTTACTGCTGTGGGAACTGATTTTTCTTTCTGGCATTTAAAGACCATTTCCCCAGTAAGCTTTCTAAATAGTCTTTAAAAAGAAATAAAAATGCCTTGTTCAAACACCCTGGAAGTTTCATCTTCTAGACTGAGGACCTGATAAATGACAAGAGTTTGTCTGGATTCTGTTAACAATTTTATTGAAAAATATGTAAAGCTACATAAGGAAGGCTTACTGGTCCAGTTATTGCCACATTCTGCAGTCGAGGATCCTCCCATTGTGTTTTCTTTGTATCTGCAAGACATTTCTTTAGTTTAGATAATGTTCAGAAATAAAATGAGGAGTCAGGGGAGAATACTACTCTGTACCTACTGTGGTTTATGAAGAATATTCTTCCATCTGTGTGAGTTCTCTCTTCCCACCCTGGCTGCAAAGGAGACACTTCTATTACAAATTTCTGACTGTATAGTTTGCATAGAACTCAATACGACCTGCAGTTGAGGGGATTCCCCCCCTCCATCTACTCTCAGTAGTGGAATTCAAAATAAAAGTATTTTTTGTTTATTAAAAAAAAAAAAAAAAAAAACCCGGAGCCGTTTTTTCTTAAGTGAAATTTTTGATAGTGCTAATTTACGTATTTAAGTTGTTGATCTGCAAACCTAGCATAAAACGGTTTACTTACTGGTAACGGGCCCAGGTCTACAGGATCTAGGGAAGTCTTTCTCCTCGGATGAGCAGAAATTTTCAGTCTGGGATCTTCCTTTGAAAACAAAGCAAGCAACATGTTAAAAACTTCTTATTGTTTCATTTTGCTTTTATTTTTTTTTCTCTTTATTAATGACTGTGTAAAGAACATGCCTAGTACCAACTAGATAATCGTTGCACATTCTGCAGGCAGGTAATTCCCTTGGGGATTCTCAGCCGTCCAGTACTTTACAATCATCTTCTAACGACCTTTCACTTTACTACATATATATATAAAAAATCCCTCATTCAACTCAGTTCTAGTGTAATTGAGTCGAATTAATCTTTCCACATGGTTTCTGGCACACCTTGTGCTTTTTGAGTTTGGTCGTTGGGGGCTTTTTTTGTTGTTGTTGCATTTGGTTAGTTTGGGTCTGTTGGCACGGGAAGGGGGGGGTGTGGGGGTGGTATGCGGAAGGTGTTTGTGTTACATGAGGTCTTTCCATAATCCTGAGGAAATGAATATTCACTTTTGAATCAATTTAATGCATTTCTCTGTTTCTCTTTCACCTGACAGTAATATTGACCTACTCTTTAAATGCTGAAGTCCACCCATTAGCACTGCCTAGTGGTGTGTAGTGCCACTCTGTGGAACTGTAGCTGTACAACTCCCTCATCCATATTGTAGCTGCATGTGGCTTGCTTTCTTAAGAATTCACAGAAACATGTGTTGTGCACTGTACCATGTGATAAATTCAAGGTAATGGATTTCCCATTGAAGGTAAGTTTACAAAACTGATTTCTGTTAACAGCGCATATAAGCTATCACAGTTTTACAGTTATGACAGAAGTGTCATTTAAGAGGTGCTTTACATCTGCAAAACAGATTCCTATATACATCAGTATTTTCATACTTCCAAGTTAAACTTTCAAGTGCCAATACAGTTTGTAAAATTCATAACGTTCTACTCATGACAGATATTTTAAATGACTTTGCATTTTTATTACATATGTTCCTTAACAGACATGACACAGCTATCTTGGCACTGAAGAAATCTGCAGAAGTTTGTTGAAAGCAGCAAAGCTTTGACTGGAGAGGAACCAGAATTTCAGTCCCTGTGAGCAGTTTTCCATTACCCATGTTGTAGTTTTGGTATTGTGGTCAATAAAGAATGGTCTCCCATTGGGTGCATGTCGGACTTCCCAGCCTTTAGGGAGAAATCCTTGCTCCATTTCAGGCTGCTGCTGAGAAGGCTGCTGTGATGAATCACTCGATGTTGCTTGTGGTTGTCTTCCTATAGAAACACTTTGCGCAGCTGACAACTGACCTGTTTCCACAGCAATCTATGGTAAACCCAAAAAAAAAAAAAAAAAAATCAAAGCCCTGTAGAGCAATGTATTTTTTTCTGTTAACCTATATTTTTGATTAATGAAAGCAGTTTCATAAAGCAAGTGCTAGACGGTACATAGATTTGTTTAGTCTAATATCAACAACATTGACTAACAATCACTGATAATGCTACCAAGGTTAAAATAGGTCTTTCAGGCTTCTCAGTCAGCTATCACTCTCCAGAAGGCTTTCTTGGTACACTACTAGTAGAGTGAGTTGCCATAAATATTACTGTTTCTAATTCTCATTGCATTCTCTCAGATATGTAGTGCTTTACCAGTTTATGCCTTTCATATGTTCTATTTCAAAGAGGTCTCTAAACTTTCTTTCCATTATGTGAGATCTTTAAAGGTTAAATGATTAAAACCATTAATAATTAGAAGACAGACGGTACCTGTACAACTGGCTTTATCCAGGTAGTGGTTCTAGAATTGTGATCTATATAATATGACCTCCCTTTTTCATCTTGTCGTTCTTCCCAGCCTGCAGGTAGTCCAGATGAAGTAGGCAATAACTAAATATTAGTGATAACAGAAGAAAAACGGTTAAGAAAACTAAGAAACCAACTCTGAAAAGGCTTTCTTCTATCAAATTACAACAACAAAACCAAACTATAATCCAGAAGGTTCAAGATTTTGGAAACTGGATAAAATAGAAAAGCAATATTTAAATCTTTACTGAACAGCACGAAGTGACAGAAACTTGAATTTAAAAAAAAAAAAAAGAAAAAAGTGAAGTGCCTCATCTAAGAGGATTCATTTATATATCTGGTCTAGGCATAGCTGTTTCAGCCTAGCACTTCTCACTATGAGCTCACTGTAAGTTCGCAGTGTCACCACGAAAACATAATGTAAGGATGCGTGGTAAAGCTTTTAATTACAAAGCAAACAATTTGAAAAACAGAACTCACATCTTTATGGGAAGACCTCTTCTTTCTGCAGGCTCTATCCATGCATTAGGCCAATGTTAAACCAAAACGACAGAGTTGGAACACAAAAGCTTTACAGCTGGACTCCAATCTTACTAGACTCATAAATCCAATTTTGTCAGAACAGCTGCCAGAAGGTGACCAAATCTCATTTAAAATGTCAGCACATAATACACAGTTTTAAGAAAGATTTACTTGAAGAAAATCCTTCAACTTCTCTGCTACACAAGCCTGTGTGTTTTTGAAAGTGACGTACCACTGGATGTGCAGGCTGCTCTTCAACTCTGTATGTTTGCAGGCTACCTCTTCTGCTGGAATGGTTCTTGAAGTCGTGAAGAGGAATGACATATTAGCTATTATTGCAGCTTTAAGGACAGCAGCGAACAGTCAACAATGGTTCTCATTCTTTAGACTATTACAGTTTTTATCCTGAACAAAGTGTCTTATACAGTATTTTGGAAACTACCATTTTAACACTGCTACAAATGTTAAGTTCACAGCGTCTACTATAACCATGAAACAGAGTAATACAGAGGCTTGTGAAAGTTCTGAAAACCTCAGCAATAGATGTTTTGGCACTTAAAACATTAGGGTAGATTGCAACCAGTTACATTACAGTTCAATATACAGTATAGAACTTACTACATTATCTTGTCAGTAGACTAAAGCCGGTGACATATCAGAGCCAACACAACTTTTCAGAGAGTAGATTAAGTTGATAATGACAAGATATGAGAGTCTGAGACATCCAGTTTGAGAAGAGTAATTCAATCCCTGGACTTTGCATAAGTATTCACCTTTCTGCCTAGAGCTACATTTAGATCTCATCTGCTACAATTAATCAGCCATATTTCATCTTGTTCCAGAATTTCCAAGACTATTTGAAGGATTTTTCCCTACCTACATCCCCTTTTAGAATACTTCAAAGAAAAAGCATGATTAAGTTTTTAAATTTACTTTTTTGGGGGTGATGGAGATGAGGGGAGCAAGACTGTCATTCTAGCCAGCTCTTACAAAGAATTTGAACACCTGCCTCTTCCTTTGCTTAGGCCTCCCAAGCAAGCTGAAATAACAGTTTTCTTCCTATCCACAGGATTCTGAATAGCAGAGATCAAGTAAAGTCTTGTTACTTTGCTGTTTCCAGCAACTGGTCACGCCTTTGTACAAACTCAGAAAAACACAGTAAATCCCAAATTTAAATTTGGAATGGCATTCTCAGCATCACAAAAGCTAACGATTTTATTTAAATACCAAAATCTTACAGACTATATGGTCTGGGTCACCTCTACATGCTTTCCTCAATGGACAGTGGATTTCCCAATATCAGGTTACAAGGCTAGTTTTGGAGCTCAGGTTTCACAAGACAGCTGAGCTTACTTAATTGCTTGCTACCACCAAAACCACAAGTCTCACTCCTGGCTACGTACACCTCATGCTTTCTCTTCACCACTGTAGCATTTATCAGACAACCTAGGGTGCTGTTTCAGCTTGCTAAAAAGTTGGGCAGAGAGGAACCTGATGAGGTTCAACAAAGGCAAATGCAGGGTCCTGCACCTGGGGAGGAACAACCCCATGCACCAGTACAGGCTTGGGGCAGACCTGCTGGAGAGCAGCTCTATGGAGAGGGACCTGGGTGTCCTGGTGGACGACAGGTTAACCATGAGCCAGCAGTGTGCCCTGGCTGCCAAGAAGGCCAATGGCATTCTGGGGTGCATTAAGAAGAATCTGGCCAGTAGGTCAAGGGAGGTTCTCCTTCCCCTCTACACTGCCTTAGTGAGGCCTCATCTGGAGTACTGTGTCCAGTTCTGGGCTCCCCACTTCAAGAAAGATGAAGAGCTACTGGAGAGAGTCCAGCAGAGGGCCATGAAGACGATTAGGAGACTGGAGCATCTCTCCTACGAGGAAAGGCTGAGGGAGCTGGGCTTGTTCAGCCTGAAGAAGAGAAGGCTGAGAGGGGACCTTATAAATGCTTA